ACTATATATATATATATATATATATATATATATATATATATATATATGTGTGTGTGTGTGTGTGTGTGTGTGTGTGTGTGTGTGTGTGTCCCTCAATCTGTGTTTTTTGTGACCTCCCCGAATGCTGAGTTATGATTTCTCATTTCCTAGCACAACACAAATAAGCAACAAAATATTTAAGTCTTCTAGACTTAGCATGGCAAAGACTTAACTGCATTGCTGTTTTGTTCATTGCAACTTTCAGCTGACCATTTTAAATTTTTGAAATGCTGATAGGCCGCCCACCATCTTTAAACTTTAAACTATTAATCTAAGCAACAGAGCAATGCTGAACAGCCAGGAGAGACAATGCCTAATTTAAGAAATAAACAAACAAATGCAGTTCTAACAAGATTTCAGAGAGAACCCTGTCATGATGCCTGACAGATCCCCTGGCTTGGAGAAGACTTGGAAAAAGAAAAGCCCTAAACCAACACTTATCATTAGAAAATCTTGGGAAACAGAATATATCTTGTGATGAGTCCCTGTCTGCCCCAACTTGAGGCTGCGAAGCTTTAGCTTCCTGCTCATAACCATACAAGATCTCAAAGGTGCTTGAACGATGTCCCAAACTCATTATGTTCCATTCCCTCATTCTATGCCTGTGTTCTCTGTGAGCCCTCTATATATGTTAGAATTACAATTCCCAGAATTCCTAGCACATCTAGAGGATAGAAAAGGGTGGGCTGTGCCTCCTACGTCATTTGTATGTCACCTTTGTTGAGGGGTGGTGGTGCTGTCACTTGTTATCATCTTTCTCTTATACGGGGCAGACAGACCCCCATCTGTATGCTTGTGTCAGCATGTGTTCATGTATAAAATGGTCAACTTTTTGTTCATAACGTGCATGCTTTGAAAATGAATTGGAAGAAAGGACTCAGATCTCATACAAGGGCAAGCATAGCATCTCTCTGCTATTCATTAAAACAACCCTTTTTTACATCTTTTCTCAGGATTCTAATGTGAGTCTGAAAAAAAACTGTTTTAGGGAGTCAACTCATTTGTTAACATGACTGTTAATAAAGCTGCATCCTGTTTTAAGGCTTGCACATGAGCTTGAAAATGTCAGGCTGCTTTAATGAACAGCAGAATGGTGCTATGCTCACATGAAGTCTGAAGCACTTCTTTCACATCACTTTTGAAGTCTACACAGCCCAAGCATTTCCCCCCATATTATTATCTAGAGATGATGCAAAAGCAGAATTAGCAAATGCGACCCAACCACTCACCTCATACTCAGATGATCATAAGTCAGAGAAGGTTTTCAAAACTTGGTCATTCTCATTCCCATTCCTGACCCAGGTACAATATGGCTGAGTTCACTCAACTAGGGTAAAAAGGGGTGGGCAGTTTGTGGTTCAGTGAGTTGTGGGAACCAGCCTGTTAATCAATCACTGAGAAACTAGTGAACAAATACACTACTGTAGTAAATACTGTGGATTTCTTTGCTCAAAGAAATGGACTGCGGATACTCTGAAGGGGTTGAAAATAATTTTACTTGTAACTCACAGAGCAGCTCATCCTCCAGATGGGTGCAGGCATCCTCAGCCACTTGCATGGTGTGAAGGGTTGGGAAATCTGCAAAATAATGAGAGAGAGGAGATACATTTTCCCCATTTCTTTCCTTAATTTGCAGTGTCCTGAACAAAACACCAAGATGTCCTTACTGCATTCCTACATCATGCAGAGAAAATATCTGAAAAGCCCCTTTCCTGGCACAAACACTTACAGCTTGTTCTCTTCCCCAAATGTAACACTAGCCCCCAATCCAATCTCTCTGCCAAGTGATATAAGCCTTCCTTTTTCTTAGAGCAGCAATCCTCCCCTCCCTCTAAAATCATACATTTCTCCTACCTTCCCCCCTCCCTGCTCCATTTCTTTGGCACAACTAATGTCACAGTTAAACCTTCCCTTCTAACCTACCTTACCTAACCTTCCCCAGATGCATCGGATTACAATTCCCATCACTCCCAGCCAGCATGTTGGCAATGGCCAGCTACCCCAATATCACATTCTAACCTGACTCTTCTACTTTCCAGAGTCCACTGCATCCCCCAGCCAGATACAAATCCACCATATTAGATCATCCACCAAACAGCAAGACCCCATTCCCTCTCCACCTTTTATTAAGAAGAAGTCAACTCCCCAAATTAACTTTTGGGAAATGAGGTACAAACATCTGTACCTCATTTCCCCCAAGAAAGCTCAGTTACCAAAGATTTAGGGCCTGGATTGAGAACCGCCAGACACCTGCTGAGATCAACAGGCACAGTCCCCCATCTCCTCTGCCATCTACGCCGCTCCAGTTTTCCCATCTGATGCTACCCCTTCCTCTTCCCCTGCCCCCACCCCAGCATGCAAAATCCCAGAGCATCATCCCCAACCTGGCGCTCTCAGATGTGGGACTTCATGTCTCATCATCCCTGCCCATGCTAGCAGGGGACGATTGGGTTTGTATTCCACGTACCCCGAACTGGGGACAGCTGCTCTCTCTATTCTAGGGGCAGCCACCTACATCAGCCAAGCGAGATCTTTCTCCCAAATCAATACGGGTCTTCCCGCCCCAAGGCAGGCAGCTGTTGCGACTCTCCTCCCACCCGCAGCATCAAAGAACAACCCTTCTCGCCGTCCCGCTCCTTCCCCGCATCCGAACAGAAAGGAAACCCCAACAAATTGCGACGTATCGCTTCTCTTGCTCTGCCTGGGCGGAGTTGGATCGATGCCGCTGCGGCAGCTCCTCCCGGCGGGCGCCTCGTGGAAAGGATCGCGGCGCACCGGCAGACAGGGGACGCGCACGCGCACTCCGAGGAGGGGGGCGGCCAGGCGACCCTCGCGCGCCGTTCTCCTCCCTCCCCGCTCGAGCCCGCGAACCTGCCCGCCGCGCGACACCGGACTCAGGCGCGTCGACGGTCCATCGTTGAGCGCAAGGGTGCAACCACTTTCCTTCTGTGACAGCTCAGCCTCGCCAATCAAAGGTCGTTTCGGGGCGGGTGTGTCCAATGAGAGCCCCGCCGGAGTTTTTGCTCAGCCAATAAAATACTTTATTGATGCCAAGATCGGCCCTGGCAAGGCGGGTTGTTTGAGTTGCTTCCGATGGATTCACTGGACTGGAATGAGGAGGAATGGCGGAGCTTTGTGTCTCGGGAAGCGGCACATAGAAACGTTGGGACCAATGGGAGAGAAGAGTCGATAAAGGGGTGGGGCCATGACCTTTTTAGTGTAATAAGAAAGAGATTTTTGTTAAACAGTAGGTGGCGCTACTCGGCCGACTCTATTTGGGCTTGGAAGCTAAACAGATCAAAGCCCGGTTGCACTTGGATGGGCAGTCCTAAAATCACAGGAACGTTGAAAAAAGCAACAGCAAACCCTTTCTGTATTTTCTAAGATGTGTCCGTATAGTCACCAGAGCTGAGTTGCCGTTGAAGAACACAGCCTGAGGAAGAGGAACGGAAGCCATGAATCAAATGGACAGTGGGGCTGGAGAGAACAGGTTTGGCAGTTTTTGCACAACATACAACCCTACATTTGCACAACATGCTAAACTTCTTTTTAACCTTCTCTTTCTTCTTTCATTTTTTGTTCAAACCCAGCCCTTCTGTTCAAACTCTGCATTTGAAGACTGACATGCCATGATTTTCATTCCTCCCTACTTTGACACCCTGAGAAATGCAAAGATCTCCATTGGCCAATCTGTGCTGTCTTTCCACTCATGTTGATTAATAGGAGTGTGCAAAGAATGTTGTGCAATTGGTGACACGGCCTCCAGGGTAACAAAAGTCCATTTGTCCCCACCTCAGACAAAAAGAAAGCGCCTTAACTAGGCTGTGCTCAAATGCTGCTGTGAGATGGAAAGCTACCTTGCTACCATCCCTCTGCTGCCCTTGCTTAACAACCGTGACTGGGATTGGCAACCCCATTGCTAAGCAACTCAGTTGTTAAGTGAGACATCATGTGACCTCGATGAACTTATGACCTCACTTCCGCCACAGTTATTAAGCGAATCACCTGTGGGTGTTAAGCAAGACATCATGTGACGGTGACTTGTGATTTTACTGCTGGCTTCTCCATTGACTCTACTTGTCGGAAGCTGGCTGTGAAGTGTGCAAATGGTGATCATGTGACTACAGGACGCTGCAACTGGTTGTAAATGCCCACCAATTGCAATATGCCTGAATCTCGATAACATGACTGCAAGGATGCTGCGACGGTCGTAAGCGCAAGGACCAGTCATAAGTCTCCTTTGTCAGTGCCGTCATAACTTCGGACAATTGCTAACAGGGCAGTTGTTAAGCAAGGCCTACCTTGTATTTGGAAATGAAGTCTTCAGAAGGTGCAGTGATACCATATTGGTGGTGGTGGGAAAATGGCACAGCAGAGAAGGTAAGAGGATTCAAAATTTCCCACAAATGGAAAAATGGACCAAATTCTGTGGAGTCCCAAAGCAAACTCTGCTTTACTCCAGTTTCAAATAAACTGCAGCAGAAATGGGGGGAAAAATGCTTCAGCTCTCAAAACTGAGGTCCAAGTATTACATAGGCCCAGGGCTCGTTCAAATCAGAGCAGAGACCTTGTGTGGAGGTGCTCTGTGTCCCAAAGTAATTTTTCTTTTCCTTTTTGCTGATACATAGATGGGCTGTGGTTTCTTTCTGTCTTATCAGTGTGAAATTTCTTGGGGAAGTACATTGTTCTTTGTAAGTAGGCAGGCTCCCGTAGTAGCTGGTATAAGAGATGTGCCACCTGACATAGTTTCCCTACCTTTCCCCTATGAAATTCTAAAAAAATTGCAGTGAAGATTAGTGGCTGGAAGTTGTCCTAAAAAAATCATATGAGATGATTTCCTGCTTTTAAAGTCTTCCCCTCCCAACTTTCAGACTGACTATAAGCCAGATAGAACCACTATATGTTTGTATCTTCAAAAAGGTCTCATACAGTATTTTCTATAGGTCCTAAACAGATTGGTGACTTTAGTGTATACCAGTGTTGTCCAAACCTGGCCACTTTAAGATGAGTGGACTTCAACTC